TTCCGTCAGTCACTTGCAGCGAGAGGCATCACCGACTCACTCAAGGTAACCACTTGCTCTGCCAGCACCTGGACCGCTCGGGCGGTGGGGCAGGTGCGGATGGGGTGAGTTCCCAGCGGCGCTCCGTCCGCCATGCCATGACACCTGAAAGAGGCCATCTGCCATGTGGAGTTCTGACGAGTTGAGGTGTCCACCGGTGTCTCAAGCGAGATGTTTTTAGGTTGAGGTGTCCACCGTCGTGTTTCTGCGTCGCTTCGTTGCACGCACGGCCCCCGTACCTTGAGCTGCATCTTCCGCACGCCACACCCCTTGCAGCTTGGGTCCAGGTCCTGCCCAACTGCGGGCGCGATCCGGCTTCTGGACCCAGTCTCGGTAAGCTCGTTCTGGACCCGAAATGGCTTCGTTTCTTCTTTGGGGAAGCTCAACATGGTGTTCCAAACAGGAACACTTGTGCCAACCATGTGCGTTTCTGCTCCAAAGAGTTGTTCCAAACCATGGACAGTGGCAAACTGTCACGCCACCTCGCCTCGAAGCCTTCAGTTACCACGGGCGGTGGAGACCCAGCCGGGTGGGCCAAGGCCGCCTTGGCCGAGGAAAAGGGCGGGGCCAGCTCATGGCCATACTCTGTAAGCAAATGGAGATTGCTTTGCACAACTTTGTTGTCATCCTTGATCATGTTACATGTCCGCAAGGTTGAGCACGTCAACATCAACAAACTGAGAAGGTGTTTGTGAACTTAATCGGCACTGCGCTATATATCCAAGTCCCCGGCTTTGCTTTGGCGATCGATTCTTTGGATGGCCGTCTGCTTACGTGGAAGATCCACGTGAGCGCTCACCGTGCTCACCGCGAGCGCTACCTGCCAACGGCGGTAGGGACCCGTCTTCAGCGGCGCGACGCCACGCGGTCCATCGGTCCGAGGTCCAGATTCCGGTCCAACGGGTCCCGTCGATACGACGTGGGGCTCATCACCCAGAGATCTTCATCCACACCCAGACCATCCATACTGGAAGCGCGTAGCACCATAGAGAAGGGTCCCTTTTCAGAGTCAACGGTGTGTGTGTGTGTGTAATAACTGCGCGTCACCGTCGCGTCACGTCTATGAAATTGCTCAACTCTTCCACTCCCCAACTCCTCAAACTCGTCTGGTCTGGTCGATACATCTGATAATCTACATCTTCAACTCCTCTCGCCTGGTCACTGGGGAACGAAGCTGCTTGACACAGGCCATTCGTCAACGGACTGTCGAGCAGCTCCTGCCGAAGCCGGAAGGCCGGCGGACACGGTCGAAGGCCCGGCGAGGGTCGAAACGGCGACGTTCGACCGATCAGTATCCATTGAAGCAAACATCGTGAAGCCTTGGAAAGAGAACATCTGTTTAAAGCAGGAAAAAAAACCTAGCTAACAAACATAAACTATTAGGGCATTAGAGAAAAAGAAAGAATTTGATTTCATGTGTTAAACCTTTTAAACCTTGAGAAACAGATGTCAGGGCGATGTCCAGCAACCCCCCCTTCCACCCAACCCCCTCCTCTCTCACCGGCACCGCTGGCACCGCTGGCACCGCTGGCACCGCTGGCACCGCCGGCCGCAGAGCACCCCTGGCCGCGCCCTGGTCCGACCCGAAAGGCGCCTCCAAGAGGCCTGAGCACGCGGAACAGGACGCGAAACGCGAGGAGCAAGGGCGAAGAGAGGGAGCGAGGGTGAAGAAGCAAAGACCAAGCGGGGACGCTTGGCGGTGGCCTCCATCCTAGTAACGTAGCAAGGGCCTTCAGTTACCAGTAGAGTAGCGATGGCCTCCAGTGACTGGTATAGGTTTCTGGTTACTAGTAATGGCCTCAGCTCAAAGGGAACTTCCAGTGGCAAGATGTGAAGAGTGAGAAGACTTGGCAAAGAGAAAGGGATCTTCGTTTCTCTTTGCTCTGAAGCTTTGAAGCGACTTCTTTCTCCCCTCTTGGCCCAAGACCCACGGCAGTCTGCAAGGAGATATGCCCTGGAACAAGGCCAGCGAAAGGCCCGGACATGTTGCCAAGAAAACAGAGCCCCTCCAGAAAAACGGCTTGGTCGAAAAGCACCGGGCCGTACCCGTGTCATTGGGAATTGATTCGACCGAGCACCAGCGACGCCACCCGCGGACTGCCGAGCGAGCTGCGCACCGCACCGCTGGGCCTTGTGCCACTTGCTTCAAGATCTCATGCAAGTCATCCTGCATCGTCTCAGCTCTCAGCCAGCTCTCAGCATCCACGGCACGTGGCACATCTTTTAGTTGCGGGGTAAAGCCTCTCAACAAACAAAACAAGGCCTTCACAAAAAATAAAAATGTCCTGTGTTGATTAACATGTTCTTAAGAAAATACATTGAATATCTGAAGCAACAAGTGTCACACATGAAGCTGGCACCTTGGCACCTCCCTCTCCCACCATGGCCTGGCCTCCTCCTCTCCTGCAAACGAGCCGCCAAGCCGAAAACGGACAGGAAGCTTGGAGGAAGCCCTGTTCATCGCTAGAGAACGGCACCAGCACCCTTCGGCTTTTTCACGTCACACGTCGCGTCCATGGTGTTTCCAGACCCGCGCTTCCCGCGCCTGCCATGGGGGCGACGCGGCTTCAGCGGCTCCGTTCGGCTCGTCCCGCCATGGAGGCGTCACGCGGGAAGCGTCGCTGGAAGCGTCGACTCTGCGCTGCCGGGGGGGAGTAAGAGTCGGTGCTGGAGCCTCCGGAGAGGAGTCTGGCTGGGGAGTCTGGTCGGATGACGTGGATCATAGATGTGAAAAAGAGTAAACGCTGTAAGAAGGTCTGGTGTCTTCTCCATGTTCAGGGGTCCATGGTCCACTTTTTCAACGCATGACCTTTCAACTCCAAGAGCAGCCTACCAATACCTTCCAAGAGGTGTCTATAAACAGCCTCTTAGACTCTTACATGTTAAGGGGGTGTCCTGGTAGAATCCCATTCAATATCACTTCTTTCCTGGTTCGACGTCATGCTAAATGGAAAGCTTTGTCCAAATTCAATCATGTGGTGACCTAATTTGAAGCTGAGGCAGCATTCGTCTCATGGTGTTCTCCGCCGCAGGAGCCAAAGTCTGCATTTCTACCACGTCCTCTTCTTCTCTCCCTTCCAAACTCCACAACGAGAGGATCTCCAGCGATGAAGCCCAGAAGCTCCAACGAACCCCCCCGAATAATCGAAGAACATGACATACGAGACGGAAATCGGAACGCGAAGTGAACGCATGCACCCCTGCCTGTCACCACCACCAACCACATGACCCTGCCTGTCACACGCGCACCAGCCCGCGTCCGCGCAGAACCCCCCCCCTCCACAACGGGGCGGCACCGGTGAGATGCCCGGCGAGGGCGACAGGTTGGGCGAGGCCATGCGGGAGAAGACCGTCCCACCGGGAAGGCCTCCTCGGTCCAACCGCGGCGTTCGCCCCCGCTCTGGTCGATTCGATCCGTCCAGCCTCGACGAATCCAGATGGAGACCCTACTGTAAAAAGTGCTCACCACACTCACCCTACCAACTCGCCTCCATCTTCCGCGGGTGGAAGCTTCGCTCGCCCGAAAAGGAAGGCCGGACGTCTCCCCGTTGGACGGTCGAACCCGCCGCCGCCGCACCGACCCGCCCCCAAAGGGCGCCCCCGCCGCCGTAGTTCTCATACCTGGGCGGTACGCGAACGCGCGAGCTGGAACGCGAACGGAGGGCGGTCCAATCCTATTTCGAACTGCCATGCGACTCTTGCAGTGTTATCTTCTTTCCATCTCCTCTTAGTCTTAGAGGTGCAAGAAAGGATTCGATATCCTCAATGTGCACGGTGCATCTCTCGGAAACCCACCCGTTGACCCCCTGCCGTCCCGGTGACCCGTTGAAGGTGCCAAAGGCGTTCGCCGCTTGTGTGGCGTGCGCTTTGGGAAAGGCCGCCGAAGGCAGCCGAGGATATTGGGCGGAGGCGGGCGCCTGGGACACGCCACGAGCCGTTTTCCGGAAGAAACGAAGAAGAGAGAAGAGATCATGGTGATCGCCATGCCGAAGGAGAAGACGAAGAAGACAGGAGATTTCGAGTAGGGACGGAGAAAGGGGTGATTGTAGCAAAGAAACTTCTCGTTCAAGACATGTATAGCTGATTCACATCGAAATGGATTGTCCTCCCACACAACTACGTCCGTCCCTTCACCGCTCTGCTACGGGACGCCGGAAAACCGGGACGCCCGCACCCCGTGCATCTCTAATTCGCCAGCATCGAGAACGCGGCGATTGAAACCACGCACCCTCGCACCGAAGAGTCTTGGAAACGCTAGGGGCTTGGGACTCTCGTTCAACCATAAAAACACGGTTCAACGAATCTGTCGTAGGCTTCATGTTGCAAATCCCAACTATATATCTCGAAGTCAGCTGCAACAACCATGAACTTCAAAGTAAAAATCTCAGTGGCTCCTCCAACATGTCACAACTTCCAACCACAGCTTGAGAGCAATGCATGACAACATATGAAAGCTCAAGACTCCGTCAAGATTGCACAGCTCGCTGTGGAAAGCACGTAATATCGCAAACATGGCAACGCCGCGTTTGGGACAAAAAAAAAGAAATCGCCACCTCTGCTTCACTCTTTCAGCCGACTTGAGCCGAGGCGAAATGCGCTTTGGCCCACGATGCCAGTTCTGATTCAGGGACTCCATCCCTGT